CTTTCATGGGAAGTAAGTGAATTACTATGAGCAAAGGTCTTTCCACACACTATACATTTATATGGTTTCTCCCCTTTGTGGATACTTTCATGGGAAGTAAGCGTTTTGCAATAAGCAAAGTTCTTTCCACACTCCATGCATTTATATGGCTTCTCCCCTGTGTGGATCCTTTCTTGGGAAGTAAGCGTTTTGCGATAAGCAAAGGTCTTTCCACATTCCATGCATTTATATGGTTTCTCTCCTGAGTGGATCCTTTCATGGGAAGTAAGTGCACTACTCAGAGCAAAGGTCTTTCCACACTCCATGCATTTATATGGCTTCTCTCCTGAGTGGATCCTTTCGTGGGAAGTAAGTGCACTACTCAGAGCAAAGGTCTTTCCACATTCCATGCATTTATATGGTTTCTCTCCTGAGTGGATCTTTTTGTGGCCACTAAGGCCACTACTATAAGCAAAGGTCTTTCCACACTCCATGCATTTATATGGCCTCTCCCCTGTGTGGATTATCCTATGGGAAATAAGATTACATTTTTGAGCAAAGGTCTTTCCACACTCCATGCACTTAAATGGCTTCTCCCCCGTGTGGATCCTGTTGTGTATTTTTAGCTGACTGTTACGAGCAAACATCTTTCCACACTCCATGCATTTAAATAGCTTCTCCCCTGTGTGGATCCTTTCATGGGAAGTAAGTGCACTACTATAAGCAAAAGTCTTTCCACACTCTATGCATTTATATGGTTTCTCTCCTGTGTGGATCCTTTTATGAATAGTAAGTTGCCTGCTTGTTCTAAAACATTTTGCACATTCCAAACATTTATAAGGCTTCTCTGTTGTGTCAATCAGTTTTTGAGATGTAAGGAAGTTATTTCCAAAAGAAAGAATGAATGTCCCATTGTAATTTTGTCTGCTGTTTGTTCTTATAGTATCTTCTCCTTTGTTTTGGGTTAAATGGTGTTCATTTACTTGTACTTTAGCTTTGATTAGCTTCACACTTTTTCCAGTATATTTTTTCCTTATTTTCTCTTGTTGGGAAAGAAAGTCTTGAATCGGAGCATCAATCGAAGTTGAGCTTTCCAGATTCAAATTCATTGACTGGCTTCTCTCATGGCTTTCGAATTTTGTTCGAATTCCAAATTTCTCCATTCCATCTTTAGGACTGGTCACTTGGAATAGTTCACAGGAATCTTGATTCTCCTGCCCATTATTACCTTCAAAGCAAAAAAGGAAATAAAAATGATAACTTGTTAGTGAAAAAGATCAAAGTGTAGAAAGTCAAGTGAAATTCCTTTGGAATTTCTCAGAAATTCCATTAGGTTGTATGTTTGCATGGTTTTTATATTCATGAGTCATGAAAGCTTTGAAAATATCTAGAAAACACCTCTTTCTTTACAATTATCTATTTATATATGCAAATCTCACTCAGAAGCAGTTTTGAGTTAAGAAATAGATTAGCTTGATTCCCTCTTCTTTGTGGCAGCCCCTAAGATATTGGAAAACTGCTATCATGTCTCCCCTAGTCCTTCTTTTCATTAAATTAGACATACCCAATTCCAGCAACCGTTTTTTGTATGCTTTAGTCTCTACTCTCCTAATCATCTTTGTTGCTCTTTTCTTCACTTTTTCAAGAGTCTGCACACCTTTTTTACATTTTGGTGACTAAAACTGAATGCAGTGTTTCAAGTGTGGCCTTACCAAGGCATTATAAAGTGGTATTAACACTTCACGTATTATTGATTCTATCCCTCTGTTTTTGTAGCCTAGAATTGCATTAGCTTTTTTGGCAGTTGCTGCACATGGCTGGCTCATATTTAAATGGTTGTCCACTAGGGCTCCAAGATCCTTCTCAAAGTTATTACTATTGAGCAAGGTACCACATATACTGTACCCATTCATATTTTTTTTGCCTAAATGTATAACCTTATTTTTTCACCATTAAATTTCATAATAATCAGGGGAAACATCCACAGAGAAATTAGGAGAAAACCTAAGGTTTATTGGAGCACTTTAGGCCTGTGTTCTTTTAAGAACTGAGGATTGCATGAGATCTGGGGCAAAAGTCTTTGAAAATGAAGAGGCCTTCCCTCTCTTTGCAAAGCATTTTGCCCTGGGTCTGGTGTAGGCCTTGGTTAGCAGATCAGTGGCCTAAAACAATGTAGTGCGAGATCACAAGAGATCAATAGTGCTAGATTTTCCACTACTGATCTTGCATATCCCTCACTACTTTAGCCTTTTTTTCCTGCAAATATACCGAGGTAGGCAAGGGAACCAATGGCTCACCACATCGTTCCAAGGTACCATATTTTTCAGACTATAAGACAAACCAAGCTGTAGAGAAGCAAAACAAGAAAAAAATAGTTTTTGGCCTCTGCGCATCCCATTTTTGTCCTTTCCGACATCCAGAAGCACTTTCTATGCCAAAAACGGGCCCATATTTGGCCTCCCAAAGCCTCTGCGCCTCCCATTCTCAGCCTCCCCGACCTCCAGAGGACAGATAAAAGCATATCACGTTCTTTTCAGCCTCCACAGGTAAGTTCAAATAGAAATGGAAAAATACAGATAAGAAATGGCACAGAACGCATCTAAAGAGACATTGACTCTTTCTTTCCTTGGAGCATGAGACGGCCAGATCCTTTCCTTCTCCTTCCTTTTTTTTTTTTCTGAAAACAACTAATTATAATCTGTCTTCTTGATTGGGGAGTAGAAAACTCTTACCCAGAGACACCACGTTCCTATGGTTTTCAAGCATGACTTCCGAATGCAGCGCTTTCTGGTCAGGATCCAGCTGAGACCATTCCTCTTCAGAGAAATACACAGCCACCTCCTCAAAGGACACAAGACCCACCTGGACATGGAAAAAAGAGCAGAACAGGACGATTCGCAAGATCTGTTCATCTTCATCATTCATTTAGACAAGAGGATAAAAGGGGAACTCATCAAATTTGCAGTCAAGACCAGATTGATAGGAATACCAACACTCCAGACTTAAAAGCTCGAGATATAGAAGGATCGACAGATTGGGCCCCATCTAACAAAACGAAATCAACAGTGACAAATGTAAGGTTCTACATTTAGGAAAGAAAAACCAAATGCACTGGCATAGAATAGGTGATACCTGGCTCAGCAGTTGTAAGTGCAACATGGATTTTGGAGTCCTAGTGGACAACCAGTTAAATGTGAGTCAGCACTATGCTTCAGTTGCCCAAAAAAACCCCAACAGAATCATAGGCTGCATTAAGAGGGATAGAATCAAGATGACATGAAGTGTTAGTGTCAGTTCATAAGGCCTTGGTAAGCCCACACTTGGAATATTATATCCGGTTTTGGTTGCCAGATTAAAAAAAAGATCTTGAGACTCCAGAAAGAGAGCAGAGGCCAAAAATTATTAGTGGACTGGAGGCTAAAACATATAAAGAATGATTGCTGGAATTGGGGATGTCCAGTTTCATGAAAAGAAGGACTAGGGGAGACATGATAGCAGTGTTCCAAGAAACAATGGGTGGAAACTATTCAAGGAGAGAACCAACCTACAACAGAAGAGACGTTTCCTGACAGTGAGAACTGTTAGGAATATGAGTCACCTAAGAAGCTATTTGGGTTAGAAATATATAAACCAGTATAAACATTTTAAAACTGTATCTTTAAGAAAATGCAAAAGTATACTTAGGTATGGTTTCTCAAAAAGCCATAAGATGGAGCCAGAAACCTGGGTTGTCTTAGCCTTAGTCTCAGTGAAGTGAGTGAGTCTCTGTTTTTCCTTCTGTTAGAAAGTATTGCTGTTCCTGCGTTTTTCCTAATTGACTGCTATTTCTGGATTTGATGTAAGTCTGATACTGAACTGTTTTTGACACTGGACTTTGTTATTGGATTATCCCTGGATTGAAAACTGATTTACTTGTGAATGACTTTGGATTGCTTGTTTGGACTTTGCTTAACGTTTCTGGAAGTAAAAACCTACAGTTACTGTACAGTGTATCTGTGTGCTGTGTTTGTGTATTCAAACACTGCTTTCAAATACGTTTCCCTGTATGCGCTCATTCTCCTAACGGGGAATTACCTCAACAAGAACAATCCATCGAA